ATTCAAACAAGAGCGCGGCATCGCATCAGCGATGTCTACCAACTGTCGTCAACAACAACTAAACGCAAGGAGCTGAACATAATCGCTTTACCAGACCAGCCCACGGGTTCCCTTTAAGGTGCAAGTATTCATGTGAAGGAGAGGTAGTTTAGGGTTTGGGGTCTGGGGTTTGGGGCTTTTAGAAATTGGGGTTTTGGGTTGGTGATGGCCTGGAGTTTGGGTTTCATGGAATCTTCAGGAGATTTTGGACCAGAGTTCACGGACTGAGCACACCCTATCTCTAACCCAAAAGACCTACCCCGTTTAAGAACTACATATAGACACCAAAAGAAGGAACCCTAAAGGGGTAGGTCTTTTCCGCTACAGGTAGGGTTCAAGAATGTTCAGTACATGTGGGGTTTCTGTAGTAAACCCTAAACCCGAAACCCTAAACCCTAAACCCTAAACCCTAAAATAGAGACCCAGGGCTTCGTATAATCAGGGGTTTCCTATAATAGCTAGGTTGGCCCCTCTAAGCCTCTGAAAACTATTCGTAAGTAAGATCCTCTTAAGCCCAATAAGCGTTTATAGGGCTTATAGGGTTTAGGGTTTCGGGTAGTTCTCTAAATTAGGGTCCATTTTTGGGTCCCCAATATAGTACGGCACCCTTATAAAAAGGACCCTAACAGGGACCCTAATTTAGAAAACTACCCATATAACATGTCCCGGCGGCCTAGTTAGTTAGGGTGTAAGTTTGAGTTTGGTGTTTAGGGACATCCGGATGCCCTGCCCGCCGACTGTCCCAGTATCCCTTAATTAAACCAGGTTTGGGTTTGGGGTTTAGGGTCGAGGGATCCCCCGGTACCTACTATGTAGGGTACTAGAGGTCCCCGGGTCCCCCAAAAAATAGGCACCTGGAGGGTTAGGGTAAGGAATATGCATCAAATTCTCATAAGACCCTTTATATGATGTTAAGTAGACTCCTTACTACCCTAAACCCTAAACCCTAAACCCTAAACCCTAAACCCTAACCCCTAAACCTCGAGGGATCCTGCCGACCCGAAGCCCTAAACCCTAATCAAAAGGATTTGGGAAGATCTGGGCCACTGAATAAACCCTCAACCCTACTCAAAGGGGTTTTGGAAGACCTGCATCACTGAATCAACCCTAAACGCTAAACTAAACCCCTAAAAACCTGAACCCCT